GAAATCTTCGTGAATATCGTGCTTCAAGGGCTCGGCCCAGAGTGGCGGCCTTGCAAGGCGCTTCTTCGACAGCAGGGGGTCATCTCGGAGGCCGCCCTTTGCGCCGCCCTTCTCGTCGAACAGAGGGATATGGATCAGCAGCGACCTGCGCTGTGACGAGAACGCGAAAGGCTCGCCTTCTACGCCGACAACACCGAAGAGCGAAAGCCACGGCGCCTCTACTGCAAAATCTGCAGAAATTTCGGGCATCTGGCGGATCGATGCAAGAACCGATCCCGCCCTCGCCAGACCAATCCGAGCACCTGGTCCGGCCGTCAAGACGCACGAGGCGACGCGCGTCATGCCCAGGGGTATCAGCCCCCTTCCGCGCGCAACCTGAACCCAGCGGTTCAGCATCAGCAGCAGCAGCCGTCACCGACTGCCCCAGCTCGCAACGTCATGAGCAACATGGCCATGACCAGCGAATCGCGTTGCCGCCGTGCCCGCTCGCCTTCACCCGAGCCGGCACCGCACCCCATTGGCGCGTTCACCAACAACAACCCGTTCAACCCGCGCCACGATTTCACCGACGACGACGACCAAGACTGGAACCTTCCAGTCCCGCTGCTTGAAAGTCCCCCGCACGTACCTGATATGCGGGTGGCGCCAATTGATTGGCTCTCGCGCGAGCAATTTTTGAAGTTCGACACTCCGCACATCGTCACACCGCGACTGGCGCTGCTCGCCCGTGACGACAACAAGCGCTACAACACCTGGTACCTGGACAGCTGCTGTGGACAGCACATGGTGGGCTCCGAGCGTTACATATCCAACGCCATCCCCACTCCTACCGCCACCTATGTCACTGTGGCGAACAACACGCGCCTGCGCGCAAGCGCGCAAGGCATCGTCGTGCTCAAAGCACGCGGGAGCCGCACGCACATCACGCTCAACGATGTGCTGATCGTCCAGAACCTGCGCTTCAACCTCCTGTCCGCCGCACAGCTCATGGATTGCGGCGTCGAACTCAGCACGGACCGCGCGACGCGCGATATTTTGTTGCACTACGAAGCGCGCAACTTCCCCCGCCGGCAGATCGGACGAGCACACTCCGACAATGGGGTGTACGTCCTAGACTTTGACATCCCCGACTGCAGCGGCGACTCGCACGAACTAATCGATCTCGTGCCACTACGCTTCGAGCACATCCACCGCAGGGACTGGAAGCACCCTGACGGGAGACCGTGGGTGCCACATCATCCACACCCACGAGAAACAGCGCTGCACGACCCTGACGCAGACGGCATGTGCAAAGACTGCCACACGCCGACGACGTCAACTAGCGCCATTGCCGGCCGCGGACTCGCCGCCATCGCCGAAGCAGAACATCACGCGCCACCAGAAGAAGGCATGTCGCAATTAGAACTTGAAGTCACCACGCATGGCGTCTTCGGCACGCCTAAGTACCCTCTTGCCGGTCCGCCCTCTCAACACCTTCGAGGGATGCTCCGCGGAACTGGCGTCGGCACCTTCGATGCGCATGGCGTGCCGCGACCCTACTTCCGCGACGATTTTCAAAAGATTTACCCCCATTGGCGCGACCACACGGCCGAAATCGCCGTGGAACAGGAGGAAGAACTGGCGCGCCGCGAAGCCGAGGAGCTTCGCCAGCAAAGCCTCGCGGAAGCACGCGGGACCTTCGCTTGCACCGCCTGGGGAGCTGAGGAAGAAGCAAGCGCCTCCAATGAAGGGGGGTGGGGAAGCGCTGGTGGATGGGGGACCAGTGATACTAACGGATGGGGTGACACCGGCGGCACCTGGGCCAACGCGAGCGGCGGATGGGGCGCCGCATCTGGCGCCGACAATAGCGGCTGGGGCACTTCCCGCGAAGAACGAAGGGGGGGAGAGGAAGAAGCCGCGGAGACCGAAGCAGCACCTGCAGTCGTTCCTCTCGGTCGTCCCCCGCGCCGCATTCCCCTCGCACCACCTCCTGCAGACATTCCCCCGCATCGCGACCCGTGGGATACCATTACCTGGGGCAACGAGCCGTCAACCCCGCGTCGCACTATCTACGGACCTGCCCCTGAACCACGCCAACCTACCCTTGTTCCTGGAACCATCCCTGGGACCAACATCCCGCTCTCTGAAATTCGCGACAGAGAGTTCTTGGCGTTGATGCTGACCACCGCGGCAGAAGAAGAAGCAGAAGAAGTAGCAGCAGAACCTGCTCCTGTACCTGACGAAGACCCCGAGGAAGCGCGCGCGCGCTATATGCGCACCTCCGGCTTTCGCGCTGATGATGCACTCTGGCACCAGCGCCTCGGACACCCTTCCCGCGCGACGCTCAAAAACTGCATCGACGCTGGCGTCTTCGCTCCTGGCGCACTCCTGCGCCCTGATGGCTCCGAAGTGAGTAGCGCGACACATCCGCGCAACTGCACCGTCTGCCCCGAAGCTGCACTGAGCCACCAACCGTTCCCGCTGCTCGAACCTGGAACCAACCGATACCCCAAGCTGCACAAGGTGTACAGCGATGATCGTGCATTAGCCACGAGCACAAGGCCTGGATCGTGCTGGACCTTCTGAGTCAGAAGACCGCCCATGCTCGCGACGTAATCTTCTACGAGCGTCTCTTCCTCGACCAATTCCGCGATGACGAACAGAGAAACGCAGATCGCGTCTACGCGAACAACGGACACAGCTACGCAACGCCCGAAGACGAAGCCGCTGCAGCACTCCTGGAGCAAGACACCAGGGCCGAGTTCGCATGGGAGGATCGGCACAGCAGCGACGACGACGACGATGATTCCTCAGGAGGAGGAATGGGCGGAACAGGAACAGGCGGAAGCGGCAGAGGCGCAGAACCACCAGCACCACCTGAACCAGAAAGTGATGACGACGACGTGCAGGAAGTCATCCCGCAACGCCGCCACGACAGCACCGTTTCGGGGCTGCAACTGCTCGGGCTTCACGCTGCTACCTCGAAAGCGCCGCGCATCATCGAGCCCCGAAACCCGCGCGAGGCTCTCTCTGGACCACACAGCAAGGAGTGGCGTGAGGCGATGGACGCGGAAATTAAGGCACTGGAGTCACGTAACACCTGGGTGCTCGTCGACCGCGCAGCAATCAAGGGCGCAAGAATTCTCTCGGGGAAGTGGGTCTTCCGCGTGAAGACCGCAGCGGATGGGACGATCGAGCGCTTTAAGGCGCGATGGGTGGTTCGCGGCTATGACCAGAGGCACGGGATCGACTTCGATCAAACGTTCGCCCCAGTTAGCCGTCACACCTCCGTCCGCATCCTGCTAGCCATCGCAGCCGCAAGGCATCTGCCACTCCGCCAAATCGACGTAAAGAACGCGTTCCTGTACGCGTTAGTAGACGCCGTGATCTATGTGGAGCAGCCGCACACCTATGGCGAAGGGGACGCGCGCGTGTGTCAGCTGCGAAAGTCACTCTACGGCATCAAACAGGCACCGAGACTGTGGCAGCAGTACCTGCACAACATCCTGCTTGAAATCGGGTTCAAGCAGATGCCGCACGACCCAGGAATGTACCGCCGCGACTTCCGCGGGGAATACATTCTCCTCACGGTGTACGTCGACGACCTGCTTTACACAGGCTCGAGCAACGAGCTTCTCGAGCAGTTCGAGAAGGCCTTGGCAGGGCGCATTGACATCACGTGCAACTACGAGGTGAAGCAGTTCCTGGGCCTTAACATCTCCTATGCTCCTGAGGCCATTCACCTTTCAGCGGCTAAGTATGCAGAGGAGTTAGGGAAGCGGTTCAACATTTCACCGGCATCTCTCTCAACTCCCTATCGCACCCCCGGACCGAACCACAAACCCGACAACAAAGCCTTATCCCCTGCTGGGATTCAGACTTACCAGCAGCAGTTGGGATGTCTTCTCTTCGCCTCTGTCACCTGCAGACCAGATCTGTCCTACATCGCGAGTCAGCTCGCGCAGTACTCACGGAAACCAACGGCTGAGAATCTCCTGGACCTGCAGCGTGCCCTTCAGTTCTTTGTTTCAACGCCCAAGATTGGGCTATGCTACTCAACTGTGCCGACTCCATCTTTCAACCTCATCGGCTACGTGGACGCCGATCACGCAGCAGACCCCGACAATCGACGGTCCAGGACCGGCTTCCTGTTCCGACTCGAGCCATCGGGACCAATCTCCTGGAATTCACAGAAGCAGGAATTGGTTGCCCTGTCGTCAGCCGAAGCGGAATTCATCGCAGCAACTGCAGCAGTTCGCGAAGGCCTCTACCTGCAGGAGCTTCTGCAAGAAGCGAAAATTCCAACTTCGCCAACCTTCCGCCTTCACTGCGACAACCAGAGCGCGATTCGCATCGCGAACAAACCTGGTTTCGTCAACCGCACCAAGCACATCGCGCTGCGGTACTTCTTCGTGAAGGACGAGGTGGACAAAGGCAAGGTCAACTTAACCTACTGCCCGACCGGTGACATGGCAGCAGACTTCCTCACGAAGCGACTGCCACGCCAGCAGTATCAGCACTGCTCCGAACTCAGCGGCGTGGTCAAGCAGGTCAAGTCGAGCTACGGCCAGGAGTGAAGGGGGGTGTTACGAATAGTAATACTTGATATTACTGTGCACTCCTCACCGCAGCAAAGAGGCATGCAGTATCGAGAACGAATGCGAGGAGTCAGAGTTGACTCGAAGCGTCAGACGGTCAAGGTGGATCTAGACCGTCGGAGAAAAACGGCATCGGGCAGCTGCAGGGACAATGAATCTGGCGGGAACAGTTTCGTAACTGTTCGGGCCGCACGGTTGGTTTGAATTCGAATAAGGGAATGTACCCCTTAGAGTACATGGCTAGCTAGGTCGCTTCGTATTCCCCTGTACTCATATTTATATCGTTGTATTTGCATGTTTTATTCATCTCAAAGCATTTTACATTCACTCTGCTATTGAGGTCAAGGGCCCACCAAACTATCTCACTGCGTGCGAACCTTCCTGGGTAGATCCTGGGCTACGATCAACTTCTGATCTCAGCATCTACTTGAGCAGCGACGCCTTGCCCTTGCTAGCCTCGGCCACCACTTGGCGGCCCTCAAACAGCTGCCTGATGAGACGCTCGATGTCCTCCGGCTGATACTTGACGTGCTTTGAGAGATTCTTCAATGCGTCCACCACCGGGCTGAGGGGGGAACGGTGGGGGGGAGGGGAGGGTGGGAGTTTCAAGTCGACTCGTCTCTATGTCGTCCGGCTGGAACGGTACTTCACATGCTTTAAGAGATTCTTCAACGCGTCCACAACCGGGCTGATGGGGAGAGGTAGAGGAGGGGGTGGATGGGGATGGGGAGAGAAGGGACGAGAGGGGGAAGTTTCGAGTCGACTAAGAACTCGTCTCAAAGTCCTCTGGCTGATACTTGACGAGCTTGGCGGGATTCTTCAACGCGTCCACCACCAGGCTGACGAGAGAGGGAGAAGGGGGGGGAGAGAGAGGGGAGGGGATGGGACGAGATGGGGAAGGTATCAAGTCGAATCAAAACTGGTCTCGATGTACTTGACGTGCTTGGAGAGATTCTTCAACAAGCCAGGGGCTGCCATTACCCCGGGCAATTTGTTAGGTTCAGAGTGGGGGATGGGCGAGGTGCAAAGCACCAAGTTGGTGCCCACAGTCTAGTCATACTCGTTGATAACAATGAGGTCGGCAAGATCGAGATGAGATGAAATAGAAATGTCGAGTTACCAGCTGGGCTGGCTGGCTGGTAAGCACCGTGGGGTTTGTTGGGTTTTGGACGGGTTAGAGTTGGTAGATTGGATGGGTTTCAGTGCAGTGCTGATCTGACACACCTGCAAACTTCCAAGTCACATTTTCGCTTGCGTAGACCTCAGATTAGCATTTCCACTTCCGTGAATTGATCACCAAGAAAATTTGCACATTTTCCGCATTTTTTTTCAGGCAGCCCTAAAACATTTTCGACTGCGTATTGCGTATTCCCTAGCGTATAGCGTATTGCATTTAAACGCAAGCGTATATACGTGATATGCTTGAGCCTCTGAGCGTACATTCCAACTTAGCCACTCACCCGTAGAGATTGAGCATGTCCCGATAGGCAGGCAGCACCAGGTCGATGACAGCCATACCCCCTTTTCAATCATAAGAGTCCCATCAGCACCTCTCGGCATCGCTAAGCACCCTTCTGCACCCATCATCACCCCCGAGCACCCATCACCGCCTCACAGGACCCCTGAGCACCGCTCGCTCACCCGTATCGCTTGAGCATGTCACGGTAGGCCGGCAGCACCTGGTCGATGACAGCCTGGCGCACCGCCTTCTGTAGCTCCGCGTCTGGTATGGTCCATGTGAGCTGGTGGGGGGACGGAGAAGAAAGGGAGAGGACGAGGAGAGGGGAAGGCAAGACATATGAACCTCCTGCAGTCAACCTCTCCTGGTGGTCCAGAGAAGCAGCGCGTGGCGTGTGGGACAACACAATGGCGAGGTGAGTTTTGAGGCGCCTCAAAACTCCTGGTTGTCCAGAGAAGCAGCGCGTGGCGTGTGGGACAACACAATGGCGAGGTGAGTTTTGAGGCGCCTCAAAACTCCTGGTTGTCCAGAGAAGCAGCGCGTGGCGTGTGGGACAACACAATGGCGAGGTGAGTTTTGAGGCGCCTCAAAACTCCTGGTTGTCCAGAGAAGCAGCGCGTGGCGTGTGGGACAACACAATGGCGAGGTGAGTTTTGAGGCGCCTCAAAACTCCTGGTTGTCCAGAGAAGCAGCGCGTGGCGTGTGGGACAACACAATGGCGAGGTGAGTTTTGAGGCGCCTCAAAACTCCTGGTTGTCCAGAGAAGCAGCGCGTGGCGTGTGGGACAACACAATGGCGAGGTGAGTTTTGAGGCGCCTCAAAACTCCTGGTTGTCCAGAGAAGCAGCGCGTGGCGTGTGGGACAACACAATGGCGAGGTGAGTTTTGAGGCGCCTCAAAACTCCTGGTTGTCCAGAGAAGCAGCGCGTGGCGTGTGGGACAACACAATGGCGAGGTGAGTTTTGAGGCGCCTCAAAACTCCTGGTTGTCCAGAGAAGCAGCGCGTGGCGTGTGGGACAACACAATGGCGAGGTGAGTTTTGAGGCGCCTCAAAACTCCTGGTTGTCCAGAGAAGCAGCGCGTGGCGTGTGGGACAACACAATGGCGAGGTGAGTTTTGAGGCGCCTCAAAACTCCTGGTTGTCCAGAGAAGCAGCGCGTGGCGTGTGGGACAACACAATGGCGAGGTGAGTTTTGAGGCGCCTCAAAACTCCTGGTTGTCCAGAGAAGCAGCGCGTGGCGTGTGGGACAACACAATGGCGAGGTGAGTTTTGAGGCGCCTCAAAACTCCTGGTTGTCCAGAGAAGCAGCGCGTGGCGTGTGGGACAATGGTGAAGTGCAAGTTGCTCTGAATGTCTGCACATAGATGTGGTGACAATGTTACCCGCAATTCATAGGGACCCAAGCGACGCGTAGCCTCACTTACACACACGCACCTGCTTGTTGTACTGCTACTCAAACGCACACATGCACACATGCGCGTGCACGTGCACGTGCTAGCACACACACACGCGCACACCTACACGCACCTGCTTGTTGTATTGCTCCTCAAACGCAGCGTTGAAAACCTTCAGCCTGCCAAGGCAAGGCATCACACACGTGACACGAGAGCAGACCCGGGAACAAGGAGGGGTGCGTGTGTGTGAGAGGCGGGGTTCAAGGCAAAGGATGCATACAGGTATGGCATCGACACACGGACACTTATGTCGCCCCAATGCAATGCACCATGTGACTCTCACAAGGGCACTTATGTCGGCCCAACGGCACTGGCGAAGGCCTCACGGCCGAAACCCGGTCACTTGCTGCGGCTTGAATCCAAGGCTTACTTGGCATCGGTCACCCCAATGCACCATGCCACTTTGATACCACCTCTGAGAATTCTTTTGAGTCGACTCAAAATGCCACTTTGGTACCACTTTTCTGAAGCCTCAAAAGCAGTTATGTCGCCCCAACGCACCATGCCACTCTCCCCCCAACTCAGAAACACCTGCCCTTCTCCTTCTCTCACAGAGAAAAGAGCTGCACCCCACTCACTCCTCCCCCCCTCACTCAGCCCAGGCAGGTGAGCGAGCAGCAACAACAGCACCCCACTCACCTCTCCTTGAATGCGCTCCTGTTGATCAACTCCCCCTGCGGACTCAGCACGCCCGTCCAGCACGAAGCACAAAGCAGCTACAGCAGCGCTCAGCCCAGGAAGCCCAGACCCACACAGCAGGTACAACAATCCACTGACCCCACTCACCCCACTCACCCCACTCACCTCTCCTTGAGTGTGTTCTTGTTTATCATCTTTTGAGTCGACTCAAAGGCACACCCACACAGCAGGTACAACAACCAACGCACCCCACTGACCCCACTCACCCCACTGACCCCACTGACCCCACTCACCCCACTGACCCCACTGACCCCACTGACCCCACTGACTCCACTCACCTCTCCTTGAGTGTGTTCTTGTTGATCACCTCCCCGACCGGGCTCAGCACGGTCAGCACCTGGTGGGGGGCACAGTGCGTGGGGGGGAGAGCAGAAGGGTTTCGGGTTAGGGGCCTAATTTGTGCCGAAACCCTAAACCCAGCACCCAGCAACCCTTGCTCACTGCACTGCGGGCTCAGCGCGCCCCGCACCTGGTTGACTTTTGAGTCGACTCAAAAGTCAACTCGGGAGAGCAGAAGGGTTTCGGGTTTAGGTTTAGGACGTAAATTGAGCCTTGCTCACTGCACTGCGGGCTCAGCGCGCCCCGCACCTGGTGGGTGGCACAGCGTGGGGAAGGGGAGACATCAGGAAGGGGGGGAGATGGGGCGAGCTGGGATGGGATGGATGGATGGAATGTGCTGGGATGGGATGGATGGAGTGTGCCGGGTATCTCACCTCAATGCGCGCTTGGCATGCCCAGCCCCTGATGGCACAGCATGTGGCGCACACAAGGAGGGGCGGGAAGGAGTGCCGCATGCTGGGAGGGGCCTTGTGATCGTGGCGGAACCAGTGCTAGTTTTAAGGCGCCATCCCATGATGATCGTGGCGGAAGGAACCAGGGCTCCCAGACGCTGCACTGCACTGCACTGCACTGCACTGCTGTGATGTGACCTGCACACTCTCTCCTCTCTCTCCCATCCGCTCACCTTACTCCAAGCCAGCTTCTGGTACATGGCCGAGTGCTGTGCATCTCATGCGCTCTCTTTACTCCTCCCATGCTCTTACCTCCCATGCTCTTACCTCCCATGCTCTTACCTCCCACCTTGCTCCCATCCCACCCACCTTGCTCCATGCCAGCTTCTGGTACATGGCCTGGTGCTGCTGCACGATCTTGCGATGCCGCTGTATCCACTCCTCCCCCACCAGCTGCCGCGCCTGCTCCGACCTGCAGGGGCGGGAGGAGGGAGAGGGTACGGTACGGGGGCAGGGAGAGGGAGGGAGACAGGTAAGGAGAGGGAGGGAGACAGGTAAGGAGAGGGAGGGAGACAGGTAAGGAGAGGGAGGGAGACAGGTAAGGAGAGGGAGGGAGACAGGTAAGGAGAGGGAGGGAGACAGGTAAGGAGAGGGAGGGAGACAGGTAAGGAGAGGGAGGGAGACAGGTAAGGAGAGGGAGGGAGACAGGTAAGGAGAGGGAGGGAGACAGGTAAGGAGAGGGAGGGAGACAGGTAAGGAGAGGGAGGGAGACAGGTAAGGAGAGGGAGGGAGACAGGTAAGGAGAGGGAGGGAGACAGGTAAGGAGAGGGAGGGAGACAGGTAAGGAGAGGGAGGGAGACAGGTAAGGAGAGGGAGGGAGACAGGTAAGGAGAGGGAGGGAGACAGGTAAGGAGAGGGAGGGAGACAGGTAAGGAGAGGGAGGGAGACAGGTAAGGAGAGGGAGGGAGACAGGTAAGGAGAGGGAGGGAGACAGGTAAGGAGAGGGAGGGAGACAGGTAAGGAGAGGGAGGGAGACAGGTAAGGAGAGGGAGGGAGACAGGTAAGGAGAGGGAGGGGGTAGTGGGTGACGACAGGGTAAAGAGTGGATACAGGGCAATAAACAACCGTATCCACTCCTCCCTTCCACCACCCGCTGCCTCGCCTGCTCCGACCTGCAGAGGTGGGGGGAGCGAAAAGGGCGATGCCAAGGAGGGAAGGAGGACGGAGAGAACATGACAATAAGGACATTACAGAAAGGAGGGTGACCAGGACGAGGTTGGATGACAAAGTACAGGAGAAGGGTTTTTTTTTTATGACAGCAGCAACTTGTTAAACTGGGAATGAGAGCAGTCCGGCACAGGCCTACAGCTCAGCTCTTTGTACCACCACCCCGAGAGTGGCGCACCTTTGCCTCCAGTGCAGGAGGGTGGAAGGGTTCACACTTGATGCATCGCAGGCAGGCATAGCCATATTGGTCGTTCCACGTACTTGCATTTCAACCGCCCAATGCAGTGTGAAGTGCATTGAGAGGCTCACTACGTAGTGCTTGCTTGTTGTCCATGAGTAAGAGACATGGGCAAACAACCAACCAACCAGTGCAGTGCGGAGCGGTGCTTCGCACTGAACAGCTACACTCAGTTTCAGCGCCTTGTACAGCTTCGCCTTCGCCTCCAGGCAGAGCACCGCACCTCACAGCACTGCACAGCACAGCACAGCACAGCAATCCCACCGCACAGCACCGCACAGCACAGCACAGCAAACCCACCACACAGCACCGCACAGCACAGCACTGAACGAACGATGTAGTGCTTGCTGTTCATGAGGAACAGCTGTGTGAGCGCCAGGTCCTTGTACAGCTTCGCCTTGGCCTCCAGGCAGAACACCGCACCATACAGCACCGCACAACACCACACCGCACAACACCACACCGCACAGCACCGCACGGCACCGCACAGCACAGCACAACACAGCACTCACTTGCAAATGGAGCGAACGATGTAGTGCTTGTTGTTCATGAGGAAGAGCTGTGTGAGCACGAGGTCCTGCTTCGCCTTGGCCTTCTGCATTGCACCGCACAGCACCGTACCGCACAGCACCACACTGCACCGCACCGCACCGCACAGTACCGCACTCACTTGCGGATGGAGCGAACGATGTAGTGCTTGTTGTTCATGAGGAAGAGCTGGGTGAGCGCGAGGTCCTTGTACAGCTTGGCCTTGGCCTCCAGGTTGCTCTCCAGCACTGTCAGGATGCGCAGCGTCGCCACCTCCAGCCGCGGCTTCTGCCGTGCCGACGGGTCCCCGCCCTGCCAGTCCTTCTCGCCCCTTTCTTTCTCGGCTTCCTCGAACAATTGTCGCAAGGTGCCTTCGTAGCTGGGAGGGAGTGCAGTGGAAGGAAGGGAGGGAAGGGTGGAGTGGGGTGGGGAAGGTGGTGTTAGAGGGAGGAGCGGTCCCCGCCCTGCCAGTCCTTCTCCCCTCGCTCCTTCTCTGCCTCCTCAAACAGTCGCCGCAATGTGCCTTGGTAACTGGTTGATGTGGGGAGGAGGAGGGGAGGAGCGGAGGGGAAAAGGTGAGGAGAGGAGCAGAATGAGGGGCGACAGAGGTCCGGACAGGTGCACGGTGCCGCATCAAACTGCTCTGAACCGTGCAGAACTCACCCAACAGAAACTTCTCATAATTGATGACATAGCTGTTGAGTGGGTGCACGGTACCGCACTAAACCGCTTTGAACCGTGAAGAAGTCACCCAGCAAAAACTTCTCATAAATAATGACAAGGCTGGTGAGTGGGTGCACGGTGCCGTCATCCATGGGCGTGCGCGTGCTGTCCTACTGCGTCACCCACAACCCACACAAACCTGCGCAGACCGCACTGAGCCACACAGAACCGCACAGAACTGGACAGAACCGAACTCACTCGAAGAGAAACTTGACGTAGTTGATGATGTAGCTGGTGAGGAGATGCACTGTGCCGTCAGCCACGGGCGCGCACGTGCTGTCCTTCTCTACGGCATCATCCACAGCCCGCACAAACACGCAGAGAACCACACTGAACCGCACTGAACCACGCGCAACTTACTCGAACAGGAACTTGACGTAGTTGATGACGTAGCTGGTGAGCGGATGCACGGTCCCATCAGCGACGGGTGTGCGCGTGCTGTCCTTCTCCACCGCGTCCTCAAACTCGCTGAACGTGTCTCGACTGATCTCCGCCAGGCTGCGCTGCAGCGAGCGCAGGTACTCCCGACATGGGATGCACGCGTTGCCTGGGAAGGCGTCGATCACCTGGGGGGGGAAAGAGGGGGTAGAAACGCGGGCATGGAAGGGGGGAGGATGTTGATCTCTGCTAAGCTGCGCTGAAGAGAGCGCAGCGCAGGTACTCGCGGCACGGGTTGCACGCGTTTCCAGGGAAGGCGTCGATGACCTGGGAGGTGGGTGGGGAGGGGAGAGGGAAAGGGGGGGAGAGTGGGAAGAGGGGGAGGGGTTGAGAGAGGGGGGAGAAAGGGTGGGGAGGGAAGGGAAGGGGTGAAGCTGATGCAGCGGCCACACGGGCACGGGAAGAGGTAAACGGGCGCTGGGCCCATTAATGCTCATTATTATGTGCACAGTTTATTCTCTTCTCACCATAGGCATGGAGTCCCGAATGGTCTCGTACATGTCGAGCAGCACAAAGAGCAGCGGGTGAGAGATGCTTACCTTAGATTAGACACGGCAAGGGGATGACGCAGGGCAGACAAGCAGACTCACCAGGGCCATGAATGCATCCTATCTATCGTGCTCACCATGGGCATGGTCTCTTCTTTCTGCTCACCATGGGCATGGAGTCTCGGATGGTCTCGTACATGTCGAGCAGCACAAAGAGCTTCTCGGGCGACTTCTGGCTGGATGCGATGGCCTCGCCGAAGGACAGCAGCAGGGAGAGGCCGCGGTCGCCCATCTCGGCGTAGGAGATCTCCCTGTGGGGGTCCAGCCCCGCAAACACCTGGTAGCATAGCTCCCGCTCTAATGGGAACACAAGCATCATCTGTTTATGGGGGGGGGAGGAAGGGGAGGCGTGTGGAGAGGGGGGTTAAGAAGGGGGAGCGGGAAAATTGGGGTGGCAAGTTTCCAGGACCATAAAAAACGAAATGAAGTGGAAGGATAGGAAGAACTTAGTGATGGAATTATTTCCACATTCCGAACGACATGCTGTACAGATGGGTTTGAGCCGTCTCAAACGGCGTTGCTGCTGAGCTACGCTCAAGGAAAAGAGAAACACCAAAAGACGTCCTTCTTTGAGTGAGGCACGAGGCGTTTCCACCAAAAGAAGCCGTTTAGAGACGTCTCAAAACACTTTTATTATCACCTTTTATTATCACGTGGCACAGCGCCATGCAGCCCTCTGAGGGCTGGGTGCTGGGCCCTCTGTGCTCGTCACTTGTACAGTGAAGTGCCAGAGTCATCAGCAAGCACCCAAAACAGTCCAGTACAAATCAAATGAAAGCGCCCACTCACGCAGATCTTGATAAAATGGATTCAGTTGCCGATCATACAAAGAGAGCCAGGGCAAAGAACCAACAGTGCACTCACGCATTATGTAAAAATGTTATTTTTGAGACGTCTCAAAAATAATCTTTTTACACGTGGCAAATCAAATGAAAGCGCCCACTCACGCAATGCATGTACTATGGCCCACTCACGCAGATCTTGATGAACTGGATCCAGTTGCCAATCTTGGTCTCCAGCTCCTCCCACTGCATGCGCAACACGTCGTCCCGAGTCACCATCTCCACGCCCAGCCGCTTCAACGACTGCTCCAACACGTTGCCGCGCACCTCCCTGGGGGAGAGGGGAAGAGGGGGAAAGGAAGGGCAGAAAGGGGGGAAGGAGGCCGCACGTCGTCCCTAGTGACCATCCCCTCTTCACAGTTAGGCGCTTCAGTGACTGCTCCTCCAGTTGCCGCGCACCTCTCTGGGAGGGAGAGGCAAGAAGAGGGAGGGGAGGAACGAAGGAAGAGAGGGGGGTCGGGTCGGGAAAGGTGAGGAAACCGGGAGAGAGAGAGAGAGAGAAGCAGGATGGGAGGAAGATCGGAAAGGGCAGAAAAGGGGCCCACCCACCTGTACACGCGCGTGCACACTGAGGCCGCCCCATTCTGGATCGTGTGCCCGGCCACCGCATTCAACCGCTCAATCAGCGTGGGCAGGGCAGCAGCAGAACGGGCAGGGCAGCAGCAGAACGGGCGGCCCCTTGCCGCCCTTGCTCAGCCCGATGCTCTTCTTGCTGCTACCAATTCTCACCCATCTGAACCGCACTCCACCACCCACCTGTACACGCGCGTGCACACCGAGGCAGCACCGTTCTGAATCATGCGCCTTGCCACCGCATTCAACCGCTCTATCAGCGTGGGCAGCAGCAGCACAGGCGGCCCCTTGCCACCCTTGCTGGGCCCGATGCCCGGAATGAGATTCTCGGGCGTCTGTGCGGGCGGGGGCAGCCCCGCGAGATCAATTCCCAGCTCTGGCATCGCCTCTATGATCTTCAGCACGTCCATGGGCTTGCTGTTGGGGAGGAGACATGGGGGGAAGGGGTGGGGTAAGGGGGAGAGGGATCAGGAGGGGGCAGCCCTGGCAGGTCGATCCCCAGCTCTGGCATGGCCTGTGTGATCTTTAACACATCCATGGGCTTGCTATGGTGGGTGGAGAGGGGAAGAAGGGGGAGGGGGAGGGGGAGGGGGAGGGGGATCACATAGGGGCAAGGTGAAGGGGGGCATGAGGAGGCAGCCCTGGCAGGTCGATCCCCAGCTCTGGCATGGCCTGTGTGATCTTTAACACGTCCATTCCATGGGCTTGTTGTGGCGGGAAAGGGGTGGGGGAACGGGGAGAGGATGGGAGAAGGATCACACGGGGGCACGAGGGGACAGCTCCTTAGGGTCTATCTCACCTTCGCTACAATCACGTGCGCCCACCTGTTATTCGCCAGCAGCTGCCTCAAGTCCGCTTCAAGCATGCACATCACCTCCTTCATCAGACCACGTGCGTGCAGAGAGGGGAGCTTCATGCCCCTCGACCTGTCCACTATCGTGACTGCAGTGCTACCACACACACACCACACCACCCCTACGCACCGCACACCACCCACCTGTTATTCGCCAGAAGCTGTCTGAAATCCGCTTCAAGCATGCCCATGGCCTCCTTCATCAGCCCACGTGCCTGCAGAGCCGCGCCCTCAGAGGACTTGTAGTTGCGGTGCGAGTCAAAGAACAGCAGCGCCTCCTGTAGCATGTCCACCGCTGCTAGATACGCCTCTAGATCCCGCCGAGGGCCGTCCTTGATCCGTTGTTCCACCTGCCGTTGCGAGGGAGAGAGAGGTGACGCATATGGGTGGGTTGAGAGGACGCACAAGACTTGTAGTCGCCGTGCGAGTCGAAGAAGAGAAGCGCCTCTTGCAGCATGTCCACCGCACCGCTGCTAGGCTGTTATCGAAACAGTCTGCTGCTGCTAGGTTCGCTTCGCAGAGAAGTCTAGTTTTGAGGTGCCTCAAAACTAGGTTCGCTTCGCAGAGACCCCTGGCTGCAGAGAGGTGCGCATGCAGGGCAGGGCAGGGCAGGGCAGGGCAGGGCGTGCGGTGGAGCGTCCATGCTGTGCTGCCGCTGCTCCTTGACTGCCCTAGCAGCCCGCCGCCCCTCCTGCCACCGTTTCACACACCGCCCCACCTGCTGCTGCTAGACTGGACTGGACCCGGCAGCCCACCAACCCATCCCACCTGCCCATACCATACCATACCATACCATACCATACCATACCATACCATCCCAGCACGCCCAGCCCAAACTTATCCCGCACCGTCTCCACGGCGCTGAGAACACCAGCATACCAACCAAACCACGTGTACCACGTTGGGACCGTTCCACACACTGCCCCACCCCACCTACAGGCAGCTCGCCCTCCCCAACCTGTTACTCCCCCCACCCGCTCATACCCCCCCCCCCCCCCCTCTCTCCCCCCCCGCGCCCCCACCTGCTGCGGGATGTCGAACTTATCCAGCACCGTCTCCACAGCGCGGATGGTGGCGTCGATGTTGGCGTGCGCCTTGCGGAAGGCCAGCGTGCGCGCCTGCCCCATGGGGTGGGGGGGGGGGGAGTGGGTGGGGTGGAACCGGGGAGGGGGTGAATGGGTGCGATGGGGGGGGATGGAGGAGATGGGTGAGATGGGCGCATGCAGGAATGAGAAGGGGAAGCAAAGTCAGTGAGTGGTAAGTCAGTGAGTGGTAAGTCAGTGAGTGGTAAGTCAGTGAGTGGTAAGTCAGTGAGTGGTAAGTCACAGCCACTCGACACAGCAGTGACAAGGTCACGCATGCACACTCGACACAGCAGTGACAAGGTCACGCATGCACACTCGACACAGCAGTGACAAGGTCACGCATGCACACTCGACACAGCAGTGACAAGGTCACGCATGCACACTCGACACAGCAGTGACAAGGTCACGCATGCACACTCGACACAGCAGTGACAAGGTCACGCATGCACACTCGACACAGCAGTGACAAGGTCACGCATGCACACTCGACACAGCAGTGACAAGGTCACGCATGCACACTCGACACAGCAGTGACAAGGTCACGCATGCACACTCGACACAGCAGTGACAAGGTCACGCATGCACACTCGACACAGCAGTGACAAGGTCACGCATGCACACTCGACACAGCAGTGACAAGGTCACGCATGCACACTCGACACAGCAGTGACAAGGTCACGCATGCACACTCGACACAGCAGTGACAAGGTCACGCATGCACACTCGACACAGCAGTGACAAGGTCACGCATGCACACTCGACACAGCAGTGACAAGGTCACGCATGCACACTCGACACAGCAGTGACAAGGTCACGCATGCACACTCGACACAGCAGTGACAAGGTCACGCATGCACACTCGACACAGCAGTGACAAGGTCACGCATGCACACTCGACACAGCAGTGACAAGGTCACGCATGCACACTCGACACAGCAGTGACAAGGTCACGCATGCACACTCGACACAGCAGTGACAAGGTCACGCATGCACACTCGACACAGCAGTGACAAGGTCACGCATGCACACTCGACACAGCAGTGACAAGGTCACGCATGCACACTCGACACAGCAGTGACAAGGTCACGCATGCACACTCGACACAGCAGTGACAAGGTCACGCATGCACACTCGACACAGCAGTGACAAGGTCACGCATGCACACTCGACACAGCAGTGACAAGGTCACGCATGCACACTCGACACAGCAGTGACAAGGTCACGCATGCACACTCGACACAGCAGTGACAAGGTCACGCATGCACACTCGACACAGCAGTGACAAGGTCACGCATGCACACTCGACACAGCAGTGACAAGGTCACGCATGCACACTCGACACAGCAGTGACAAGGTCACGCATGCACACTCGACACAGCAGTGACAAGGTCACGCATGCACACTCGACACAGCAGTGACAAGGTCACGCATGCACACTCGACACAGCAGTGACAAGGTCACGCATGCACACTCGACACAGCAGTGACAAGGTCACGCATGCACACTCGACACAGCAGTGACAAGGTCACGCATGCACACTCGACACAGCAGTGACAAGGTCACGCATGCACACTCGACACAGCAGTGACAAGGTCACGCATGCACACTCGACACAGCAGTGACAAGGTCACGCATGCACACTCGACACAGCAGTGACAAGGTCACGCATGCACACTCGACACAGCAGTGACAAGGTCACGCATGCACACTCGACACAGCAGTGACAAGGTCACGCATGCACACTCGACACAGCAGTGACAAGGTCACGCATGCACACTCGACACAGCAGTGACAAGGTCACGCATGCACACTCGACACAGCAGTGACAAGGTCACGCATGCACACTCGACACAGCAGTGACAAGGTCACGCATGCACACTCGACACAGCAGTGACAAGGTCACGCATGCACACTCGACACAGCAGTGACAAGGTCACGCATGCACACTCGACACAGCAGTGACAAGGTCACGCATGCACACTCGACACAGCAGTGACAAGGTCACGCATGCACACTCGACACAGCAGTGACAAGGTCACGCATGCACACTCGACACAGCAGTGACAAGGTCACGCATGCACACTCGACACAGCAGTGACAAGGTCACGCATGCACACTCGACACAGCAGTGACAAGGTCACGCATGCACACTCGACACAGCAGTGACAAGGTCACGCATGCACACTCGACACAGCAGTGACAAGGTCACGCATGCACACTCGACACAGCAGTGACAAGGTCACGCATGCACACTCGACACAGCAGTGACAAGGTCACGCATGCACACTCGACACAGCAGTGACAAGGTCACGCATGCACACTCGACACAGCAGTGACAAGGTCACGCATGCACACTCGACACAGCAGTGACAAGGTCACGCATGCACACTCGACACAGCAGTGACAAGGTCACGCATGCACACTCGACACAGCAGTGACAAGGTCACGCATGCACACTCGACACAGCAGTGACAAGGTCACGCATGCACACTCGACACAGCAGTGACAAGGTCACGCATGCACACTCGACACAGCAGTGACAAGGTCACGCATGCACACTCGACACAGCAGTGACAAGGTCACGCATGCACACTCGACACAGCAGTGACAAGGTCACGCATGCACACTCGACACAGCAGTGACAAGGTCACGCATGCACACTCGACACAGCAGTGACAAGGTCACGCATGCACACTCGACACAGCAGTGACAAGGTCACGCATGCACACTCGACACAGCAGTGACAAGGTCACGCATGCACACTCGACACAGCAGTGACAAGGTCACGCATGCACACTCGACACAGCAGTGACAAGGTCACGCATGCACACTCGACACAGCAGTGACAAGGTCACGCATGCACACTCGACACAGCAGTGACAAGGTCACGCATGCACACTCGACACAGCAGTGACAAGGTCACGCATGCACACTCGACACAGCAGTGACAAGGTCACGCATGCACACTCGACACAGCAGTGACAAGGTCACGCATGCACACTCGACACAGCAGTGACAAGGTCACGCATGCACACTCGACACAGCAGTGACAAGGTCACGCATGCACACTCGACACAGCAGTGACAAGGTCACGCATGCACACTCGACACAGCAGTGACAAGGTCACGCATGCACACTCGACACAGCAGTGACAAGGTCACGCATGCACACTCGACACAGCAGTGACAAGGTCACGCATGCACACTCGACACAGCAGTGACAAGGTCACGCATGCACACTCGACACAGCAGTGACAAGGTCACGCATGCACACTCGACACAGCAGTGACAAGGTCACGCATGCACACTCGACACAGCAGTGACAAGGTCACGCATGCACACTCGACACAGCAGTGACAAGGTCACGCATGCACACTCGACACAGCAGTGACAAGGTCACGCATGCACACTCGACACAGCAGTGACAAGGTCACGCATGCACACTCGACACAGCAGTGACAAGGTCACGCATGCACACTCGACACAGCAGTGACAAGGTCACGCATGCACACTCGACACAGCAGTGACAAGGTCACGCATGCACACTCGACACAGCAGTGACAAGGTCACGCATGCACACTCGACACAGCAGTGACAAGGTCACGCATGCACACTCGACACAGCAGTGACAAGGTCACGCATGCACACTCGACACAGCAGTGACAAGGTCACGCATGCACACTCGACACAGCAGTGACAAGGTCACGCATGCACACTCGACACAGCAGTGACAAGGTCACGCATGCACACTCGACACAGCAGTGACAAGGTCACGCATGCACACTCGACACAGCAGTGACAAGGTCACGCATGCACACTCGACACAGCAGTGACAAGGTCACGCATGCACACTCGACACAGCAGTGACAAGGTCACGCATGCACACTCGACACAGCAGTGACAAGGTCACGCATGCACACTCGACACAGCAGTGACAAGGTCACGCATGCACACTCGACACAGCAGTGACAAGGTCACGCATGCACACTCGACACAGCAGTGACAAGGTCACGCATGCACACTCGACACAGCAGTGACAAGGTCACGCATGCACACTCGACACAGCAGTGACAAGGTCACGCATGCACACTCGACACAGCAGTGACAAGGTCACGCATGCACACTCGACACAGCAGTGACAAGGTCACGCATGCACACTCGACACAGCAGTGACAAGGTCACGCATGCACACTCGACACAGCAGTGACAAGGTCACGCATGCACACTCGACACAGCAGTGACAAGGTCACGCATGCACACTCGACACAGCAGTGACAAGGTCACGCATGCACACTCGACACAGCAGTGACAAGGTCACGCATGCACACTCGACACAGCAGTGACAAGGTCACGCATGCACACTCGACACAGCAGTGACAAGGTCACGCATGCACACTCGACACAGCAGTGACAAGGTCACGCATGCACACTCGACACAGCAGTGACAAGGTCACGCATGCACACTCGACACAGCAGTGACAAGGTCACGCATGCACACTCGACACAGCAGTGACAAGGTCACGCATGCACACTCGACACAGCAGTGACAAGGTCACGCATGCACACTCGACACAGCAGTGACAAGGTCACGCATGCACACTCGACACAGCAGTGACAAGGTCACGCATGCACACTCGACACAGCAGTGACAAGGTCACGCATGCACACTCGACACAGCAGTGACAAGGTCACGCATGCACACTCGACACAGCAGTGACAAGGTCACGCATGCACACTCGACACAGCAGTGACAAGGTCACGCATGCACACTCGACACAGCAGTGACAAGGTCACGCATGCACACTCGACACAGCAGTGACAAGGTCACGCATGCACACTCGACACAGCAGTGACAAGGTCACGCATGCACACTCGACACAGCAGTGACAAGGTCACGCATGCACACTCGACACAGCAGTGACAAGGTCACGCATGCACACTCGACACAGCAGTGACAAGGTCACGCATGCACACTCGACACAGCAGTGACAAGGTCACGCATGCACACTCGACACAGCAGTGACAAGGTCACGCATGCACACT